GAATCTGTCACCATCGTAGTGCAAACGCTAGCAAATAATCTAATTAATTTTTTTTACGGTTTAGCATACTTTTTAAGCCCACAAAGTCCTGAGTGCTGTTGCGAGACTGGGTGAGCTCGAATGATATGATTGAGGTAGTAGGCATATTTGTCTACCCAGACAGTTGTATCAGTCCCGGTGTTCTAGTCAGATACGATATTTCCACCCGCGCCAGGGCAGCTTTCGTGAACCTGCACCGCATGCAGTGTAGGCGTGACATCAGCTTACCTGTCAAGTTTAAAATACTACAGCGCGCTTCATCTTATTATACTGGTCACAAACCCGGCCTCTGCTCATCAGACGTTAAAAAAATCTTCTTCGGAACACCGAATTAGTAAGACTAAGCTTCTTCGAATGGTTTCCGGTGGAACTCGTTTACGACAGATGAATGATCAAACTCCGTATGTTGCGCTGGCTTGGCCACGTGCTCCGCATGCCAGCTTACAGACTTCCTCAGAGGGATCTCTTTGGACAACCAAGTGAAGGGTAGAAAAGAGCCAGGGGTGGTCAAACAATGACCTGGCAGAGAATTATGAAGGTAAATACCAGAAAACATAGTTGCATCGGTCATTGTCGTTTTCGTGGATCGGCACCCGGAAACAAGACACATCGATGGGTAGACACATTTTCTGGCAGCCCAGTCGCACCCTCGGTGGCATTCATGCACAGCGTCCCTGCCACTCTTCTCAAGGTAAAGTTCACTGACAACCCTGTATATCCGCATCAATTATGTCGGTTATTGTCTTCAACGCGCAGCTACCTATCTCACCTCTCTGAATCATCTGTGAACGAAATGTGGTAGCTGGAACCACTGTACGCGTTTTTTACGGAGGATGATGAATCGTAGTCATGGTCAAGTGAACTGCGCAAATTTGGGATTATAAACTTATTTGACAAGATCGCTCAGGGACCTGGCCAGTTCTGCTTCGAGTTGGATGTCACACAAGTTACCTTTTTTCAAAAGCACACCATATCAGACAAGCAATATACGGAACACTATAATGTCCGACGAAACTGCTGAGAACCGGTTCACCTTTTCACTGTTTACTTTTAGATATGAAACAGTGAAACAGCCTATAAGCAAAATTTCTATTAGCAAGTCAAATCATCTAAATAATCATTTGGAGCATGTAAGAATGACCGCATGGATTAGGTTTAGGAGTTTCCTTGGTCCTACAAGCTACTCGAGTCACAGAACATATCGGTCATTCTTCATAATTGTTCCATCATTTCCAGCTATAGTTTCACTTACTGCTATATTACTAGGGCAAGTCAGTCGTTAATAAATGGTTGATAAAACGGATGGCTGTTTCTCGTAGAGAAAGCCTTCTTCATCTCTCAAGCTTTCGATGTCCACCATCTTTCCTTAGGCTCTTCGCTATTTGGCGTCTGAGGGACTTGAGTGCGTCGTTGCCGTAATAGCAGGCTATCACAGATTTTTGATCACTGATCAATAAACGATATCTGCCGGTCTTTTGGCCAAATCGGAAGACTGAAGCAGCTTTTTTTAACCTGCGTTACATGCGATGTAGGCCTAACATCAGCTTATCTGTCAAGGGTCGAGTTTACGATGCTCGTGTGCGCTTTATATTGCTATGCGGATCAATATCCTAGCCACTGCGCGTCGAGGACGTCGAAACACTTTTAGCGTTCCACCAACAATATTTTCAAACCATTTTCCGAGTCTGATGGGAACACCATCTTACTGGATGGGAATCACAAGATGGGATATATCAGTGGTTATACACACTATCAGATATAGCACAGTCGCGCCCTCAACGTCGCCGGTGCATCCAAACTATTGCCTTCAACGCATAGCTCCCTTTCAAATCCCCCCACCTGTATTTATGCACCAATTTATCAGCTCCCATGTTCCATACGCAGACACTTACCCCAGCTCTCCAGACGCAGCAAGCAAGAGTTCTTCCTAAATGGGTCTGAAACCAGAGAGGGATCCAGCTGATTCCAAAACAAAACAGTTTGACTTTAGTGGTAGTTTTCTGTAGTAGATTATTAATTGACATTTCTTAATTTGGCGCATAGTGAGTGCGGTTCCCAAAGACACTATACCTTATCGGCTTATTAATATAAATAGGTCAAATCGTGTATTTTGGATTATCTAGCTCTCATACAAATGAGTCAGGCTGTTGGGTCCTTACTTTGTCCAGAAACAGGATGTTTTGGATACTCTATTCGTGCACATCCCTCCACAGCATTTTAAAAGATAAACAAAACTGTGCACATAGATTGTCAACTTGTGAAAATGTTTCCCTGATGTAGCTGTTTTAGTCACCGCAAGTGTGCATGCTTTTGTCTTAACTCGACGATCCAAGAACTATATTTCATGATATTTCATATGAACTATGTTGATCATAACTGTCATTTTGAATGTTGGTGAAAATCATTGAAAAAATTCGACTTGCAATCGACTCCTTCTGAGTTATCGTTTAGTTTACGTAACAAATACACGGAAAAGATGGCCGTTGATTCAGAACATCTTGTTAATACTGAAAAGGGCAGACGGAGTTCAAAGGGATGTAGCTAGGAAGCAAGCATGGCTTGGTTAGTATTTGAATATTCATAGCTTTTTACGTTCGTAAATTGAGATAATTTTTTACTCGTATCCTTAAAAACAAACACTGACCTATTATCTGACAATAAAGTGACGAATTAAGACTTACTCTCCTCGTTCAAGTTTACATTATTCGCTGTTGAGGTAAGCGTCAGTTTGTCTACATAAAACGAAGCTGACTGCCTGACGAACGTAGTCATTTGCTTTCACTTACTTATCTGTAGCTTTTGTTAAAAGAAAGTCCAACATATAAAACATTGAGATAGGCACATTTCAAAGAGGATACGTTTTTTAATCAACAGGAAAATGTTTGGGACCGACTGGGTAGTCATTGTTTCAGAGGGATTTGGCAAACATTCGGTCGATTTATTGCAGAACAATGTTTGGCTTTTGACACAAAAGCATCATCGAGCTAAGTGAGTAAGTAAGCAGTTTGATTGGGATTTAGGGCAGCCAGAGACCCACTCCCTGAAATTTCTTTTGTTGGTCTGCAGCACCATAACCTTTGGCGGCAAATAGTACGAAAGTGCTTTGTGGAAAGGTTGCCAGATACTAACACCTTGTTTAAAGGGCACCACCACAGCTGCAAAAATAAGCTAGATCCAGAATTTTAACCACTGCTGAATCCATCGGCATACGTACTAATAGATGCCACCCTTGTGTTTGAAATCTTCTTATCTGTACAATAGAATCTTTTGGTTGACGGACTAAATCTGAATAGCGTTCTTGGTTTACTATGGACCTCTACTTTGATCAACAGGCTTAACTTGTTAAACGGTTTCATCCGTTACATGTGTCTGGGTTGGAAGGAGACACAATCAACAGGTTAAATGAAATCACACCATGTTGCTCCATCATCATCAAGGAACCAGTATTTCTCACCGGATAATATCATCTAAGCTGTGATGCCTATTCTGATTCGTTAAGTTTGAAACAAATGAACCACAATATTGGGCATAATTAACAATCAGTTTGATGACCTCCTGCATTACTATAGGTGTCTTAAATACATGAAACTGGTCAGTTTTTTAATCCGTTTCATCTCATATTCTGGAAAGCACAAATAATGTTTTCATGTCGAAACTTTTCACTTCGGAGTCAGGTAATCCTGGAAGGTTTGTGCATATCATAACTATTTTAAAGTATCTTGTTATCGCAACACGCAACACAGTTAATAAAAAAACTGAAATTTACAGGGTATTTTGGCCTGAGTTAGTCTATTAATTTCTGGCTTGTACGCCGACTGGCGACTGATCAACTAACAACTCAAATGGATCAGTATGAATTCTTGGGACCCAATTTCGCGCTTAAAAAATACCCTAAAACACCTTTCCCAACATTTAGCCATTATTCTAAATTTGTACCAGACTTCTGTGTTCAGTGTAACTAGATGTGTGTCTAAATTACCGCAAGGAGACCAATTTATCTTGTTTTTGCTTTGAATCACTCAAATTGTTTCTGCCATCTTTGGTTCAAAATCCCTCTGTACTGTTTGTGTCTATGGATAAATTTCAAGAAAACTTAGCCGCTGAACCTAAAAAGGTACCTCTTCTGCATATTTCTGCCATTAAACATCTGCTTTTGTTGCTGTTGGAATAAAAATTCTATCACGGGTCGCAGTTTCATTCACCAAAACTCTGATAGACCGCGGCAGTAAAGTCAGAGTAGAGTATATGGCACGCTGGCAATATAAACGTGATATCCCTGAGATCAACAGTAGTTGGTCGTACCGAAAAATTGGTTTTACATTATGTGATGTCTATCTCGGCAAACCTCAGGCGACTGCATTTTCATCACCGTAACAGATTCTCATTATAACCCCTGACTTACTCGATAATCAATATTATAAGAACGCCAAGGTTTTGAAACACATAAACTGCTGCCATTTATCACTGGTTCTACATGCAAGCATAATGGAGGATGTTTTTATTAACTTCTAGTCCACTAACCCTTGTTTTTGTCCCAAACTTGACCACTAACATAGTAACCCTCGTCATTTCTCACCAGTCTTTTCCAGACCTTTTTTCACACCATCGGCGATGTTTTATATGTGTTTCATGAGGAATTGCTTTTTGTACTCATTAATTTGCTTCCTCAGCGCTTTTACTGTAAACACCAACTGCTACATACTAAGATATAAGAGTGAAAAGTGCCTAAATGTCTTTCAATTATCCAGGGCACAGCGAATAAAATCAGGCTGATATGTCACTGAAGCATGACCTATAATCATATCCATTACTGCGGTCATGGGTCTGAAATCTGAAGGGTGCCCATATTATAAAGTCACCAAATCGGCATACCCAAAGGACTGGGCTTCGTACCGCACGAATGGGAGTTGATCATCCGTCTTAGTTGATAGGCTAAGGTGCACAACACCTTAGAGACTCACCTGCCAACTTGAATCTGTATGACGATAATAAGCAAAATTGTTCATTATCCATCCATAAATATCCGAAAGTGTAACTTTTGGTTTTCCAAGTTCCCGCATTGCAAGGCAAATCAGCGTCGCATATGAGAACGGTGGTTTTCCTGTCCATTTTGTCCTGTAATCCATACGAACCTGGGGGTCACACAGGCTTCCAGCAAACGGTTGTGTGCCAGCGGAAGATTTCAGTGTAGCATCTTTACGCGCAGAAACGTTATACAGAAAAACTGACGTACTTGTATTGAACTCAGACGACTTCTGAGTATTATCTAACTCCAAACCAACCGGATGCATATCCTGACCATGAATGACATAATTACAAAATTCGCTTACATAAAGCCAGGTGAGATTTGTCAGCGAATCATCGGGTGTGTCAACGGCATCCAGCTTTTGCAGCCAGTTTTTTCTCAAGCGTTCTGACAACGTACTTAATCCACCCTCATAGAATTCGACTGTGCGGCTTATGATATCCAGAGGCATCGATTAATGATCATACGACGTATGAATCATATAAGTCCGAAATTCGTGAGACACAAATATTTTGATAAACGGTTCTATGAGCACTCAATATAACATATTGCCAGCCGCCAGGGTTTCTGGACGAAACTGAAAGCCGTTTGTATTGCCGCTTTTCTACCCCGCTCCCTTTTATCGGTGAATTTACGTAGCCTCGTAAAACAACTACTGATCCAACCTCAAGTTCATTTCAACTGGCGCTAGAGTATAGAATCGATCGAGCAATATATTCTTCTGTTTCGTAAAATACAACACACTGATTACTAGTTTCCCCTGCAATGTTGTCAGTACCCATTCGAAGATTTCTAGAGACCTCGGGAATCCAGAAAACAATAAGGTCTGTAGAATAGTTAAGAAATTAGGGATGTTGGCCAGAGGTCATAGTCTTGTTGCATGGTGTCTCCAGTCGGACTTCCATGATGTGTGGAAGGATAGAGGTGGTCTGAGCTTGAGCCGTGAAAAAAGGGGTCAGTTCAAGTCCAATTGCGCATCAGGAAGTTTGCGGGTTTCGCAAGAGTGGCATGTTTCCTTCAGTATTGTTCTATCCCGGAATCTCACGGGAAGTAATATGGAAGCTAAGTGTCAACCAGACACTGAATGCCCAACACGGTACACTCATGTACTTCATACGCCATGTATGTGTATTGGAGACATTTATAAACCTAAATGGGTTTTGCTCAGACCAAGGCAGTTTCTCTTATATCAGGCACATTTTGAGAAAACTCATTTATCGTAAAAACGGAAGATCAATTGCTGGTTGTGTTGGCTCCACGTGTTCAAGTCAAACCGGTGTTGCTTGGGGAGCACATTCATACTAATCTCTCGTTCATAATAATTCATATATATTACTTATTTTCAAGGTCTGGGAAGTAGGACTTCTTAATGAGTTCCAAGAGGGGTAAAGACATTTTGTTGTCCTGGCTATTCAGCAGTCATGCTTACGGTACTAAACTACAATCATTATCTTTACTGCCCTCTAAATCTCAATATGAGGCATTCTTTGGCATATTTGACTTATGAATACGCTTAATGAATAAATCAGCAGAAAAGCTGCTAGATCCCGCGAGCGACCCTAGAATTGTCCCCAATAGGGTAAGTGGAAGTCATTTCTACTTGGTGACGGCGCGGCAGTTAGCGTGCCAAAGCTATACATCTAGGAGGAAGTCTTGAATAATCTTTTAATTCAGCGTATCCATGAGCCCAATGTACTCAAGAAGTTCGTTTCGAAATGGAGGTACATTGGAGGCAAATAAATTGCAGCGTGACCATGAAGAAGAGAGTCAGAGCGAGAATTTTCACGGGTGCCCATGCATCTGTGACTTAAAAAATTGCGTAGGGATGCCAATTTGGGAACGGTATTTAGGAAAACGGCATTAAACAGTTAATGATACTCATAGAAACGTCGGTAATGGCAGGTCAACTCACCTGGATGAAATAAAACACGGAGAGTGCACTGACATTCTTGTTATCCAATTAAAACTATTTACTTCATCCTAGTCATGCTTTGGCCGGAGGGGCCTACAGGGTTCGGACACGCGAAGCAGTCACAAACTGTGACAGAATCGCTCTGCTCCGCTGAAGGGCCAGAAGGAAAACGGAAATGCCCTCTTTTGTCGGCTTTTTTTGGGAATAAGTTTAAGTATTTGTGCTTTGGACCAGGATCACTTCATGTAGTCCAACGGCCGAAAACGGTGATATATTAGGGTAACAATAGTGTGGCGAGGTTACACTCCAGTACTTTGCAACAAGCCATTGGGAAAAGTCTGTTTCGGGGTCACGAAAATTAGGTATCCATGGTCACCGCAAATGCAGCCTGTTTACAAAGTTGATGTATGATAACGATCAGGTTGTTTGTGAGCCAATAATCTGCTCGAGATAGGCCCAGAGGACGAGACGATGTAACTCGTATATACTTTGTTTCCGTATTATGTTCCGAATACTTTGGTAGCTAGAAACAGCAGTTCAAGAGCAGACAGTTTTCGATCAATCGGTGAAAGAGCTTGGAAGTGAAGGACGGTAAAAATGAGTGGGCTGAGAGACTGTGCGTGTCAGACGACGAATACGCATAGTTGGATACCTCCGTATCCAAAACTGTATGTGAGCTATAATGTAAAGTTTTCTCAAACTTAATTTTACAGACGGCCAACAATTACCGCAAGGCAACCGGGGTCAGGGGTCCAAGCGGTCCTGCTCTTAGTCCTAGCAATAAAGCCAACAAGTAGACTGCACCATTCAAAGTTCACTCATTTCGTGCTCACATTTAACATTGAAATGTTCCTATCAATGAAGAGCTTTCGTTTGAACTCCTTCACCTTGGCTTTTTCTCAAACATCTGCCCAAAAAGAAAGTTAGGGAAGATGAGAGTTTTTCCCCGGGCTGAATTAAGCCGTCTTCATGATTGCGAAATTCATTGGGGCCATTTTCTGCATCCAGTCAACCAGCGGTTAACACACACGATATGGCAGGGCATGTTTGGCCCTGGAACACACTGGGGGTGCATTTAGAACTACTCAATCTTTTGAACGGATTCAACTTATTCATCTTGAGAAAATAGGCCTCTCGCTGTCACCATCAACATCTGTTACTTGTTCTTTGCAATTTCGATGAGCCGAACTTTGTAGCCTGTTGTTTGACAAGAATAAGCACGCACGGAGATGAAGAGTACGTCCAATCGAAGGAAACATTATTTTCCGCTAAAAACCAAACCACTGATTTCTCTTTTGTGGTGAGCGTGGTTTGCCCCTGCACGTCATATATTACAAAGAGGTTTTGTGTGCATCTCTGCTAAGTCGAACTCCCAGATGATGTCATCAATGCTGCGTCTCACATCATAGTAAAAAGGATGCCAGTAGCCCCGTTGAGATAGGTTTAATAGCAAAAGTTTTTTGGCTGAAACGGTGGGCTAGAAGCAGGTACGACCCACGACTAACTCGAAGAAACCGCAGGGGCATAGTAAAGGCGTACAAAATAGATCCCCTATAAATTTGGTATGGTATAGCGGTGCGCCAACTTCCCAATGCACCCTTAGAGCTGGAAGCTATATTAATGCATCAGAAAGTAACGCGGCCCCTCGTCTCTAGGAAAGAGGTCAAAGTGGGCGGTTTTAACCCAATAATCGCTTTTGCTCGGGACCGACTAAACTGTTCATATTCAACTGCCGATCTGAGTGGCATATTGGGTTTTGCTTTTGTCGTTAATTGAGCTAAACACTGAAAGTGTATTTCATGTCGTTTTTCCGATTGGATGAAACCGTATTTGCGCCTTATGTGTATTGGATTGCTTCAATTCCAAAAGCTCTTGACACAACATCGCCCTTTGTCTACTCAATGCCGTTATTCGGTCAAACGGTTGTACCAATCAAAAATACGAATAAATAATAATAATGTTTATTTCTAACTTGTGGGTGGCATACCGTCTGGCATGATCATGCGTTTGCAGTCAGAATGAGGCATGTCTGGGGGATTGACGGGTAGTGGGGATTGCGCGAAAAGAGGACAATATCATAAAAAGTGGGAAGTATTTGATTTGCATCTAACATATTGACCCTTCCAGAGTTCGGCGGTTTCTGAGCACAGCTTCAGAAAGACCATCCAAGGACGAAGGACTCATATCGGATGCCATATTTTTGACTTTTCAAAAGCATTCGATCAAGTCCCAGAAGTCTCACTGCTCCACAAACTAATGTCTTACGGGATTTAAGGGATGATCCTACACTGGACCAAAGTGCTCACATCACACTGATCACTCTGCGTGAAAATGCACTCGACCTACTATTATTCAGCCCCGGTTTCTATTGGAGTTCCTCAAGGCTCCGTCCTGGGACCACTGCTGTTTGTGATATACACCAACGACCTTCCAGATGTTCACCAAAATTCATGTCTTCCTTTTGTGGGCGACTTAAAATCCTGGAGTTTCCATGCCAGTGTCTTCCAAATGGATGTAGATGCTGCAACCTAGTATTCGCTGGACTAGCACCTTTCTCTGAATGACAAAAATTGTGTCCACGTATCATTTAGAGGAGACTCAGCGAATTTTCTCTCATGCATGGTAAGGAGGAGCTAGAAGACACTATGAGGATGGACACCAAAAAGGATTTGGGTATCTGGCTCTCTTCAGACATGTCCTTCTCACTGCATTACGAGAAATCGGCCCAAAAGGCATTCGCCGCTTTACGGATGATTGGGCGCACCTTCTCCCGTGTTACTCACATAGACTTCCAAATGCTATCCTGGGCCTACGTCAGAACGCTACTTGAATATGCCAACCAGGCAGTCTACACAGGACGCGCGAACGACGTAACCCTCTTTGAGCGTGTCCAGCGAGCTGCTACGGAAATATTAGCCGGCTTTATATCCATGGACTTCAAAACCCGTTCCGCGGTGCTTGCCATCTTTCCCCTTGAGTATCGCCGACTGTGAGGGGACATAATTCTTACTTATGCAACCTGCTGGCCAGCAAGTTTCTTACCGTTGAACCAGCATGCACACGGCGGGACATGGTGAGAAGCTTTTCAGGCTCAGAGCGCGCACATGTTTTAGGCAAATTTTTCCCTCATTTCGGGTAGTAGCTGCGTAGAATAACCTTCCTCTGACTGTTGTCCACGCTCCTTCCAGAACCCAGTTAAAGCACTACTAGACACTTTTTATCCAAGTCCTCTCGTTGGCAAGCATACTGCCCAGCGCTGAGAACTCAAAGATCTCACCCTTTTTCACCGACGACTTTTCAGTTAAAGCCTACTAGACACTTTTTATCCAAGTCCTCTCGTTGGCAAGCATACTGCCCAGCGCTGAGAACTCAAAGATCTCACCCTTTTTCACCGACGACTTTTAGGTGAACGACAGCCGCAGAACGACAAGAACAAAAACGACCCGAGAAACTTTGGCGAAGGCTCGAACCTGTGTACTAATCCGTAAATCCATGAAACCACAAAGTGATCTCCAGGCGTCCGTATAACGCCCTTGTTG